CCTCTGGCTCTACAGTGACTACAAATATTTTAAGGTAAGTAATGAGTGAACTGTATATGCATTTTATCACTCTGAGATGCTTAAATGTCGTAGAATATTGTGTGGGTGGGATGGCCTGGTATGGTAGCCTGGCTGGCTACCATACATACCACACTTGATTTCTTACAATAAATAATATTCATCTCGCCCTATATTAAGACTACAAATATTTTAAGGTAAGTAATGAGTGTACTATGTATATTTTATTTTTATTGCTTTTTAATGCCTAGTTCAATTGCTAACTTATTATGTTAGTGTAAACTTATCTAGTATTTATATGCAGTGTGTGTCCATAAATAGGGTTAAATCCGAGTGGGGATCTATAACAAGTGGGGTTCCACAGGGATCAGTCTTGGGCCCGTTGTTGCTTATAATATATGTCAATGACCTTGATGAGGGTATTACTAGTGATATGAGCAAATTCGCGGATGACACAAAGATAGGTAGGAAAATTGATTCAAACGTAGATGTTAGGGAACTTCAGGAGGATTTAGACAATCTCTCTTCTTGGTCAGAAAAGTGGCAGATGCAGTTCAATGTAGATAAATGCAAGGTTCTGAAGCTCGGGAGTGTCCATAACCCTAGCACTTATAAGCTAAATAATGTAGAACTTAGCTATACAGATTGCGAAAAGGACTTGGGGGTTATGGTGAGCAGCAACCTTAAACCAAGACAGCAGTGCCTAAGCGTACGTAATAAGGCAAATGGATTATTGGGATTTATATCAAGAAGTGTAAGCAACAGAAGTCCAGAGGTTATACTGCAGCTTTATACATCATTAGTAAGGCCTCACCTTGATTATGCAGCTCAGTTCTGGTCTCCATATTACAGAATGGACATAAATTTGTTAGAAAACATTCAGCGTAGAATGACCAAGTTAATACATAGCATTAGAAATCTTCCTTTTGAAGAAAGATTGAAGACTCTTAAATTACATTCACTTGTTAGACGAAGAATGAGGGGAGACATGATCGAAGTGTATAAGTGGAAGATGGGTATTAATAAAGGGGACATTAACCCTTTGAGGGTCGACAGGCCCTCTCCAAGACTCGTTCTCAGGGTCGGCCAAATTTAAAAAAAAAGAAGAAAAAAAATTCTCTTTTGAAAAGATAGAGAATCTTTTCCTGATCATAATGAACCAAAAGTTTGAAATTTGATGGAAAACTTACGGAATTATGCTCTCGCGAAGTTAGCGGTCTCGGCGATGTTTATGCATCGGCGATTTTGCCCAATTTGAGCCCCATTTTCAGCCAATTCCACTGTACTGGTTGACAAAAAACATGAATATTTAGCTAGAACTCCATTTTTTCTATCGAATGAGTGCAAGAAACCACCCATTTATCAATTTCAACTATCCAGTACAGTGGTCAGAATTTAGCAATTTTGCCAATTTCACACAAATTTCAAAAGATGCCAATTTCCGAATAGGGCCCAGAATAAACAAGAAAGACATTCCTGGCACTAAAATGACATTTCCTCTGTTCATTCATCTCTGTTCATTCATCACGTCTCAAGGCCCGTCTAACATTCTTTTGCTTTCCACTTTGAATTTTTATTCTCACAAAAAATAGATTTACTGTTATGCAGAGTACTGCATTAGTGTAAAAACTGATATAAATAATATTGGTGCACTTGCAAAAAAATATTACTCACCAGTTGACGTGTATTGGACGCTTGGCATGATTTGTTTACTTTTGAACTTTGGTAAAAATCAAACATTTCTGCTACTTTGAGCTCAATTTCAAGGTACTTTTCATTGTAAAACCAGCCAAAATCATCTCAATTTCTGTAATATGTCTTCCATTCTATAAAATGAGACCAAGAAAACTAGAATACAACAATAAATACCATACGAAAATACAGTGCAAAGTTGCTGTTTTATTCCCCAAAAAATGATCTTTTTTTTTTTTCTCATTATGCACTGTGTGCTGCAGGATTTTTTTTATACTGTGCACACTAACCACATAGACCCATTCTTTCATATGTAGGCCTACCAGCTTTCTCCCAGTAGATTTGAGGGCGCTAGAATTTAGGCGTACTAGTACGTCAAAAACCCTGGGTCGTAAGCCGTACTAGTATAGCCGAAACCCTCAAAGGGTTAATAAGGTCTTGAGAATATCTCTCCAGGAGAGAACCCGCAGTAATGGATTTAAATTAGACAAGTTTAGATTTAGAAAGGACATAGGAAAGTATTGGTTTGGAAATAGGGTAGTTGATGAGTGGAACAGTCTACCTAGTTGGGTTATTGAGGCTAGGACTTGGGGTAGTTTCAAATTTAGGTTGGATAAGTATATGAGTGAGAGGGGTTGGATTTGAGTGGGACTTGCAAATGGGTGGATAGTTATCAGAGCTTATTTCTTTGGGTAACATTGAAAATTAGGTTGGGCAAATGTTTTGTTAGTGGGAGTGATTGTAAAGGACCTGCCTAGTATGGGCCAACAGGCCTGCTGCAGTGTTCCTCCTTTCTTATATTCTTATGTTCTTAAGTGGGGGGAAAAAAGGGTGTCCCACTTTACAGCGATTTCCGCTTTACAGCGGTAGCCTGGAACCTAACCTGCTATATAAGTGGGGCCCTACTGTACATTCATTATATCATATGATTTGTTTTAAATAGACATACAGTTCCAACTAGTTGGACCATCCTGTAAACATTAAGAAAAAATTCTCTGATACATTTCTTTTGACCATGACCTGTACAGGTGAAACTAACGATGATGAAAGCAAATCCAAAATTAAGGTTGTTAAAATTAACTATTTAAAGAAATTTAATGTAGAGACTAGTAAGGATATTATAGTAAGGTGATGAGGGTATCAAATGATTTAGATAAAGAAAAATTGGATATCAAATTGGAGAGGAGGGGTATGGAAGAAGTGAACGTTTTCAGATATTTTGGAGTAGACGTGTCAGCAGATGGATTTATGAAGGATGAGGTTAACCATAGAATTGATGAAGAAAAAAAGATGAGTGGTGCATTGAGGTATATGTGGAGACAAAAAAACATTATCTATGGAGGCAAAGAAGGAAATGTATGAAAGCAAAGTGGTACCAACACTCTTATATGGGTGTGAAGCTTGGGTTGTAAATGCTGCAGCGAGGAGGCGGTGGAGATGTCCTGTCTAAGGGCAATGTGTAGTGTAAATATTATGCAGAGAATTTGGAGTGTGGAAATTAGGAGAAGGTGTGGAGTTAATAAAAGTATTAGTCAGAGGGCTGAAGAGGGGTTGTTGAGGTGGTTTGGTCATTTAGAGAAAATGGATCAAAGTAGAATGACATGGAGAGAATATAAATCTGTAGGGGAAGGCAGGCGGGGTAGGGGTCGTCCTCGAAAAGGTTGGAGGAAGGGGGTAAAGGAGGTTTTGTGGGCAAGGGGCTTGGACTTCCAGCAAGCATGCATGAGCATGTTAGATAGTAGTGAATGGAGATGAATGGTTTTTGGGACCTGATGAGCTGTTGGAGGGTAATATTTAGTAAAGGGATTCAGGGCAACCGGTTGTTTTTATATAGTCGGACTTGAGTACTGGAAATGGGAATTACAGTGCCTGCACTTAAAGGAGGGGTTTGGGATATTGACAGTTTGGAGGGATATGTTGTATATCTTTATACGTATATGCTTCTAAACTGTTGTGTTCTGGGCACCTCTGCAAAAACTGATTGTGTGAGAGTGAGGTGAAAGTGTTGAATGATGATGAAAGTACAGTGGACCCCCGGTTAACAATATTTTTTCAATCCAGAAGTATGTTCAGGTGCCAGTACTGACCGAATTTGTTCCCATAAGGAATATTGTGAAGTAGATTAGTCCATTTCAGACCCCCAAACATACACGTACAAACGCACTTACATAAATACACTTACATAATTGGTCGCATTCGGAGGTGATCGTTATGCGGGGGTCCACTGTATTTTCTTTTTGGGGATTTTTTCTTTCTTTTGGGGTCCCCCTGCCTCGGTGGGAGACGGCCGACTTGTTAAAAAAAAAAATTATGCAATGTCAGAGGATGCCTGTTGTATTAAATGTAAAGTATTAGTGGACTGAGAAAAGCTGATATCTTTGACATTGAGAGATTTTTAGTTAAGGTCAGTGATGGGTTAATAGTTTGAACAGGCCATATTGAGGATTAGATACAGGATAGGTTTCCCCAGGTAGCATAGGGAAATAGGACAAGCTACTTGGATGTGACATTTTTATTACTAGTGACTTGAGATAGAAATCTCCCTTCAGCAAGGGGGGAAAAAAAAAAAATTTAGTGTTCTTAGTCAATGGTTAATATAGTTGAAAAGGTCATGAGAACTTTCAGAATCTGAGCTTCACCCTAGATGACGCAAGCCTGTATGAAAGTAATTACATGGGAAAATACCGTACAAATAGTATTGCAAGTTTTGGTGCTTCACCGAGTCCCCATTCTTCTGAAATATGATAATTTTTGTGGATTCTTTCCATGTGGGTTATTTGTGCCACTAACCATTATTGTCATCTGAAAAGTACCTAGCAGAGGGTCAAAATACTATACAGACCATTTACTCTTTTGAGTTTCTCTCTCTGGGTTATTATTGAACACATCCTAGATAATTACAATTCACGTGTGTATTTTGGATCCCTACATACCTGTAGGATCTCTACAGTAATCTCATGTCTTTGTATTTATCCCTTTCATAATTTTTTTTTTCCAACATTTCAAAGAATGTATAGATTTGTAGTTTAGAGCTCTTAAATGCTTGCCATCAGTATTTCATTGTAGTTATAAATAATTTTAAATTGGAATTTCATCCTACCTCTATAGTTCTTTGTGACTGACATATTTTGCTTCTTTGGGTTCTGCTTTTGATATTACCATAAATGCAGTTATTTCTTAACCTAATTTACAAAATATTTGCGTAGTTTTAGTTTCTATCATTTTTTAGTTGGCTTTATTAAGTCTTCAGTGAGTGGTATAAAAAAGTTAATTTCTTTTATTTCATCCAGTGGAGATGGAGGAAGTGAAGAGAGTATCATCAGTCATTACCTCTCTCTACAATGAGAAAGTTAAAGCCAGCAAACCCAAAAGCAAGAAGAAAGCTGGTGGAAAGGCAAAACTCAATGTTGGACAGGGTGCCCTTGTTGTAAGTTGCACATTTCATTTCACTAAATGGAGCTTGAAAGATTACATATTCCTTATGTTAACTGATTATTGTAATTTTTAAGGCATGGTTCCTTTTTTTTCTTTTCTTTTCTCATTCCCCAGGTGCTATATGACCCTATAGGTTTAGAATTTTCTCCTACATATATAGAAAAGGCAATGCGGCAGATGTTGCAAATATATGGAATAAGTAGTAGGTTATGAAAAAGCAATGAAGAGTTATGGGGAGAGTGAGGCTAACATAAGGGTATGTATGAGAGAAGGGAATTGTAAAAGTAGGCCTTGGACAAGGATGTATATTACCATGGTGGTTTACCTTATTTATAGACAGTGGTGTTGGAGAGAGTTGTGGGATTAGAAGATAATGAATTTGATACAGTGTAGGAGTTGTTACAGTTGTCCTTTTGATGATGACGACATTTTTAGGAGAATCTGAAGAGAGGTTACAAAGTTTGGTGGAAGAATTTGGGAGGGTATGTAAAAGAAGGAAATTAAAAATGAACATTGGATTCAGCAAGGTGAAACAATAACAAAATATCTGTCGCAGGGCCCAGCTTGGGGAGTAGGAAAGCTCTTGAAAAAACCCACTAAATGTAGGCAATGAAAGATTGGATATCAGATTTGAGGGAGGGAAGTATGGAGGAAGTAAACTTTGTTCATATATTTGGGAATGGGCTTGTCAGCAGATGGAGTCTAAGAAAGACGAGTTGAACCATAGTAGTGACAAGGATAAAAAGGGATGAGCAACACATTGAGGCATCTGTGGAGACAAAACTAACCATGGAGGTAAAGGGAATGTACTAGAGTTTGTTAGTACAAACACTGTTTTATTGGTATGGAGCATGGGTTTTGAATGTTGCCCTGAGATGTTGTTTGAGGGCGGTATGTAGTGTGAATATTAAGCTGAAAGTTTGGAGTTTGGGGATTAGAAAGTGAAGCTACCAAAAGTATTTTTCAGAGCTGAGGGGGCAGCTGTGGTGGTTTGAACATTAAGAGGATAGAGCAAAACATGATGACTAAGAGTGTATAATTCACATGAAGATAGGGGCCATCCAGGAATGGTTTAGGGGGTGGGAGTGTAGGTAGTTTTGAGTGCTAGGGCCTTGTACGTCCAACAGGCTTTTGTGTATGTTAGGTAAGAGTAAGTGGAAGCAAGTGGTTTTTGTGACTTTACATGCTGTTGGAGTGTGAGCAAGGTAACATTCATGAAGGGATTCAAGAAAACCAGTTAGCTGAATGTGAATCCTGGAAGTGTGTGCACTCTGAAGGGAGGGGTGGGATTAGGTCAGTTCAGAGGGCTATCTGAATGGTGATATCAGCATAATAGTGGTAAAGCAGTGAATGGGTAACAGTGAAAAATGTTTACTTTTGCTGAGTCACCCTACCTCAGTGGGGGATGGCCATTATGTTAAAATAAGAAATAAGCATTTTGTAGCAAGTTATACCCAAAATTTTAATATATTAATATGTAGTAAGTTAATGTATTTTGAAATATAACTGCTGTGCATATCTGCAAATGCTTTGGTATTAATAAATGGCTTTCTCTTTCAGGATGATATAAGCAATGACTTCGGTGGTTACAATGAATATGACGATTTCATATAGTGTATTATTATAATAGACATCAATTATTATTGTTTGGCTTCCTATGAGCTTTTATTTGTACATACACACTCCCAGTGCTTTATATTCTGAGTGGAAACCTTGTAGGGTAAAATCTGGATCAATCGGGAATAAAATACAAGAGTCATACATATTTCCATGTATTTTTCACATTTTTAGTCCTGTATTGCCATAAATGCAAGTGATAGTTGCTGATGCTTATTTGCATCCTATGTCCACCAACATCACTTGATGTGGAGACACATGCCTACCCCCATGCTTCCCACTTACCATATAACCTGTTTGAACATTATTTTAAAAGAATATCTTATTGCCATGATAGGCAACAGTATAATTGTTATTGCTAAAGTTTAATCTGTATTCAAATTGCAGTCTATTGATAAAAATTGTTTTAAAATGAATAGGCAGCCTGGGTGTTTTTTGTACTGATCAGGATGTTTGGTTTAAATTTTGCTATCTGCTCCTGCAGAATAGACTGTCATACTATTGGAAATCAAAATTCAAAGCTATTATTTGGTGTTACAACTTGTGGCCTTAAATTTTCTCCTGTGATTGGCCGTTTTTGACAGTTACATTTAGCTCGGCTCTTCACATTCTAACCATTCCTCTTCACCTTTTATAAGCAGCTTCAAAATTGGCCACTTTTTTAGGATTGTTCATAGTTTTTCTTTGCTTCGGAAAGAACGACAGGTTTATGTTTAGGTATAATTTACTAATAAACATGTTTGTTATTTGTTAGTCTTCTTAGCCTTGCTTGTTGTCCCACCATATATTTTACATTGGTTCAAGTGCTTAGCTCGCTTTTGTGAAGCAAGTGGAAAAACTTGGGCTAATGAAGATTTCTCCTCATAATGTCTAGAAATTGTTTAGGCAGTTTGTTGCTAAACAAAATGCGCATAATTGTGATGGTGCATTTTGCAATACTTCATAAGTGTTCAAAAGAGTAATCGCCTAAAGTAATCTTTAGTAGTACAAGTAGAGGTGAATAACGATGACAAACTTATGTAAAGCCCTGCATGGAGGGATGTCTGCTAGAAAAACAGCTGTATCACTGTATGACCCTTAGGGTTTTAGTGCTTAATTTGATGATAGTACAGTAGTAATAGAAAAACAGCCACCAAATTGTACTAAAGTGTAATGTATTTTCTTTTGGTGAAAGAGCATGCCTTGACTGTAGTAGCACCAAATGACTCCACATGGGTCTAGTGCTCCATTTTAATATAAAAATGCCCTTTACTGCAACTTTGCCTTCATTCCCTGGCTTTTCCTTGTCTCAGTTCTACTGTCCCCAAAAGGTGGGTCTAGTGCTAGTGAGGTGTTCTTGGAGAAACGTTTCCTCATTAAAGATGCAGAAGTGTTGCACGTGTCTAATTTATCAACTTTTCGGTTCTCTGAACCATTCACCTACATTCCTGTCAGACACAGCAACATATTGGGATCTTAATACAGGGAATTCTTCACTTGCCTAACCTTTAGACATGACCTACTTCCACATTTGGATTCGTCAAATGTGATACCACCTACTTCTGCTGCAACTCGCCTGCCTACAGTATGAGAGCCACTTCACACATATACTGTATTCTTTTCAAGATTGATGGACTGATTACATCGACTCAAGGCTGAGGGACTGATTACCTCAAACTCCTGTTCTTCACATTCTCCTTTGTATGAAAAAATCTTAGTCAGAGCAGGTAATGACAAGACCATTTAGGTAAGTTGTTATCTTATTGGCTTTCCAGAAAGTGCTGATTCATGTGACGGCAATGAACATTATTTTAATATGAAAAGTAACATGCTATGTGTAGCACCACCAGCACCTGACACAACCAGTTGGCCTGCCAGTACTGCAAATGGCATTACCAGCTACTTTATCATTACTACATGTGGCATTACCAGCTACCCTATCAATACTACATGTGGCACCACCTGCTATTCTATGAATACATGTAGCACTACCAGCTTCCCTGTCAATACATGTGGCACCACCAACTATCCCTTCAATACATGTGGCACCACTGGCTACCCTGTCACTACTACATGTGGCACCACCAGCTACCCTATCAGTACTACATGTGGCACCACCTACTACTCTAGCGATACTATATGTGGCACCACCTGCTACTTTACCAACATGTAGCACTAGTACCTGACTACCAGTTGACTTACGAACACCAATTGTGGTATCGCCAATACTCTTTACACCCACATGCCTAGCTCCCCTTCCTTGGATCAAACCCAAATGCAGCTCATTCCTACTATGACTGTACACTTCCTCTGATTAAAATAAGTCTGGGGAATTGTTGTCCCAGAATAGTTCAAATGTATATGTGTGACAGTATTCACCAGGACAGGTGTGCTGACAAGGGGCTTAGTCTTGCAATGATCCATCTCCAACTCCGAAAGGAGAAAGATTTCTCAAATGTTTCAGTATGTGCTGCTCAAGTGCTGTTCTGGTCAGTGTATCTGGTATGCCTCTTCATTGAGAACACTACTGTAGTTTTTGGGTTCCTGGCAGAACACTGTTTTATATATGCAAGGTACATATACACATGCATTATGTATTTTCATGGGATATACCTATGTAAATCCACTTGTCCATATGCATGAGCATGTATGCATACTCATAAACACGCACTCTCTCACTCGCTCTTTATCACTCGATACTGAACATGCCTAGGTATGTGTCTAGCAGCCAAACTGTGGGTGTACTTTTATTATTGGTATCAGCTGGCTGAAATCATTTGGTCTCTCTTCAAAGAGGACACTGTTTCTGTGTGTTTGGGTTCCTGGGAGGAACAGCATTTCATACATGGGCAGGCTCTGCTTTCCAGTGCTTCACTTTAGTGTTTTGTTAATACAGAGGTTTTCAACTATACCCATTCTTCATTTATTCTGACTTGTACAATAAATACATTCACCATTCACCATAAGCTGAGGACAAAAATATTTTAACGTAAGGTGTGTACTGTATATGCATTTTTTAGGCCTAGCTATATTGCTCACTTAACATACGATAGTGTAAACATGTTATCAGGCTTTTACAGTGGATCCTTGGTTTTCGTGAGTGTTTCTGTGAATTTTGGTTATCAACAACTTTTTTCGTCAATATAGCCGTGGTTTTCGTGATTTCCCTTGGATTTCGGCGGTCGCACACAAAGCCTCCCACAGACGCATGCAGAGTTAGTGTGGCATTGTTTCTTGGCGATTGAACATTACCCTGCGAGGTAATAAAAAACATTTCGTAACAATACATTGGTTTTTGCTCTTGTTTGTGTGTGACTGCTAAATAAGCCATCATGGGCCCAAAGAAAGCTGCTAGTGTCAGCCCTTTGATAAAGAAGGCGAGAAACATGATAGAGTTCAAGAAAGAACACACCAGCCAGGGCACTTCCCCACACACCTGACAACCCTATGCCTGTTATGGAATCTATTGTAGCTTTGGGGAACTCATGGGGTTGACTGTGAGTCACCAGGATATGGAAGAGTTGGTGGATGACCACAGTGAAGAGCTGCAAGACCTTCATCTGGAACAGCAACAGACCACAGCTGAGGAAACTGCTTCAGAGGAGGAGGAAGAGAGAGGGAAGGTGCCTTCTTCAGTGATTAAGGACATTTGTGCAAAGTGGAATGAGTTGCAAAGTTTTGTGGAGAAATGTCACTAACAAAGCTGTTGTAGGCCGTGTCTGCAACACGTTCAATGACAATGCCTTGTCCCATTTTAGGCAACTCTTAGAGATGCCAGAAACAGAGCAGTCTGGAAAAAAATTTTGTGTGACAGGGGTCCAGTGACTCAAGCTGGTCCTAGTGCCAGTAAAAAACAAAGGGAAGTAACTCCCAATAAGGACTTGGTACCTGAAGTCTTTATGGAAGGGGATTCCCCTTCTAAACAATCAGTCCTCCCTCTCCCCTCCTCCCTGTCTTCCATACACCAACAAGAGTCTTCAATAAAGGTAAGTGTGATACTGTCATTCATTTCTGTATGTAAATCTATATTAATCTCTAAAAAAAAAAAAAAATAATTTTTTTGTTAATACTTTTGGGTGCCTGGAATGGATTAATTGGATTTACATTATTTCTTATGGGGAAAATGGTTTTGGTTTTCATGAATTCTGGGTTTGGGCAGACTCTGGAACGGATTAATCACGAAAACCAAGGGTCCACTGTATATGTATTTTAAAGTGAAGAAAGGCTATGATTTACTTTCCTCTTCAAGGGGGGCCTCCTTGGCGTGGTGAAGAGGCTCTTGGTCTGAGGAATTAGACCTGTCGGTCTCCTTCCTCAGACCGAACCTAATTACCCCCCAATCCCTCCTTCCCTATCCCATCCTCCCCTTTTTCCTTTCCTCCTCCTCCTCCCCACCCCTCCCTTTTGCCCTTCCTTTTTGGCCTTTGGGATTTTTTCCCACAGGCACACTAGTTCCTAGGTAGGGGAAAGGGTACCGGGGTCCATCCCATTTCGTTGAGGTTCTTGGCGGTGGCGTAGTTTGCCGTGGAATCTGGATTGCCTGGGGATGTCCCGATCCCTCTCTGGTACCCCGGAGGGTGGCTTTGGGTGTCTCTCGGGCGACGGGTGTATCTCTGGAAGCCACCTTTCGGATTCCGGGGGTGGTGGCCGAAGGAGATATGCTTTGTGGCGGATATCTGGCCGCCCTCTCTTTTGTCCACCGAGGTAGCTCGGCAGATATGAGGTTGCTATCCCGGATTGCTGGTTTACTAGCATGATGGGTAGGGTATGGCACGGGTTCCATGCTGCATCTACGCTACTAGCGGTGCTGAGGTCCTCTTGGGCGCGGAGGGAGATTTCTGGCCCTTTCATTCCTCCTAGGAACTATCCCTTCCCGGTCCCCCCCTTTTTTTTATTTTTTTATTTTTTTTATTTTTATTTTCTTTCTTTTTTTTTTCTTAAAAACAAAAAGAAAGTAGTAACCTAACCATGGCAGCCCCAGTCCATGAACCTGCTACCCCCGGGCCCCTTCTTGATACCGCACCCTGTTCTGACCCCGCCTTGTCTTTGGACCACTCTTCAGACACTCCTCATGCCTCTGTACCTCTTGCCGGTGCTGTTTCCTCACCCGCTTCAGGTACTGAGGTCTCGACTGACTCCTTTGATTTATCTGACCTCCGCTCTCCTTTGACTATGCTTCCGGCCTCTCCCTCTACGGTGCGGCAATTTTCGAATCGCCGGCCCGTTCCACGTCGGACCAACTCTGGTCCCACACCTAAACGCCAATGACAATTTCCTGCTGATGATACTTCTCCACCTTTTCGTTCTTCTCAGAAAAGATCGGCACGTCCTTCACTCCCTTTCCACGCTCAGTTTCAGAATGCACAATGGACTAAATTCTTTACTTTACGACTGACTACCTCTACTGCCTATCTTTCCGACCACAGTACAGTGGTCCCTCGCTTTTCGTAGTTCTCGGCAATCGTAAATTTCGCCAATCATAGGGGTATTTTCGTATAAACATGGACTCGCTTTTCATAGGTTGACTCGCGAATAGTAGTTCGTCTGGGACGCATACGCACAGTGTGAGCTGGGGCGGCGTCCCTACCCAGCCAGTCTGGCATTGTTTACCAGTGAGTGAAGGTCCCCTCAAGTGCTCCTACAAAATATTTCATAATCCACTCATTTTAGTGCTTGCAATTACTAAATAAGCTACCATGGCTCCAAAGAAAGCTTCTAGTGCCAAGCCTGTGGTAAAGAAGGTGAGAAATATATACAGTGACAAAGT